CACCCCACGAAGAATGCATTTTCACCCACGCTTTTTTCCCGTACCCACTTTTTCTTCTCCCAATCCATTCTGTAAACAAAAAGAAAGCTACCATAGGGAAAACTGGATGCAACTGTTAACAAATCACCCTCCGTCTCCACCAAGTAATAGCAGGTATAGGGGACGGAGGATGGACCCGAACTCGACGGGACGCACATTCAATCACACTGCTTTCTGGCGAATAACCCAGATGAGTCCCTTTGAATCCGTGGTGTAAAAGTCATCCTTGTAGAATATTGCGTCAGAACACCGGCTGTCGAAGTTGTGAATTCCTCTGTTCCATGCACGATCCCCTGTTTTGCACAGGGAAAACCTGTGTCCGGATTTATAAGGATGGTTGACCAGGAAAGTGCAGTAGGGATCGACCGGACCGTGCTGAATTCTGGATTTCCTGATGATTCAGGAGTCCTGAATTGTTTATCCCATGGCAGCTTGACTCTGATTCTGGTTAAAGGATTGAGAAGATAAATTGCAGAGAGAAGGAATGGCTGATGTCGGTGCTGGAGAACAGGAAAAGGAACAAAATGGCAGAGAGGGATGGGGGTTGAAGATAAGGGAAAGGTCAAATCATCATTTTTTTTCCACGTAGTTTTTTTGAAATAAAAAGATTAATTCGTGGTAAGTTAACGTGCCACTTGGGCACTTCCGTGACGGAAGGACCATTTGGGTTCCAAATAAATAAAGTTAAAGGACAACTTGAGTGCTTTCATTTGTTAAAGGACGAACAAAGTTTTCAAATGAAAGTTTAAGGACCAAATTGGGTATTAAACCTTTCAAATATGAAATTTTGTATAATGAAAAAATATTTTATAATTAAAATTGTTTTAAATTATAAAATATTAAAGAAAATGATTTTTATATAATCTTTTTATCTCATCTCTTTGTAAAATCTAACGTGTTATTTAAATGATTAATTTTTTTAATTCATGTAAAACCCGTGATATTAAATGTATTTATTTATTTAATAATGTATGAAAGTTATATAAAAAGATTGTATAAAAAAATTATCTTTATAATACCATTCAAATATTAATTATTTAATACAAAATACCCTCTAATATCGGGATTCTCTTTCGATTAAACAAATTTTATTTTACAATTTAAAACAATTCATATGGTAAAACAATATATCATTTGTATAAAATATACATAAATTTTTAATTTTTTTTCATTGTGTGGCATTTCTTTCCGATTGATCAAAACTATTACCTTTGAAAAATATCTATTTAAGTTTATGACATTGTAATTTTACTAATTGTTAGCACATTTTAAAATGTTTTAATTAAAAATATGATATCGAGCCCATTTTACAAAAATAATATTTACTTTATAAGACATTAAGATCATTCAGTGGATAAATAAATAAGTTTTGATTATAAAAATTATTGTTTCCCTTTGGTACATGTAGTCAACAAGAATTTGGTTTAATTGATACTTATTTTGGCATAGTAATATTCCTTAATCATAAATTGTCAAGAAGTTTTGTCTCTTGGCTTAAAGTGATATTAATTACATATTTATATGACTGAAAACAACATTAATTACATATTTATATGTCTGAAATCAACGCTAAATTAACTTGAGTAGTCTAACAATAATCTTTTCTCCTAAAAAAACAAGGACCTTAAAATTTTTTTTTTTTTTTTTTTGAAAATACAAGGGTTTTAAATTTAAGCTTTAAGATACAGATACGAAAGAGAGTTACCCATACTAAAATAAAAGAAAGAAAGCCTTGAATAGTTGGTTCAGTTGGTTCAGTTTTTCTTCCCATTAAGTAAACATATATTCACTGTACTTTTTCAGATGAAAAATAACCTAGGGATTTTTTATCCAAATATAAGCTACAGAAATATCCATCCTGACATTCACTTGCGGCACAAAAGTAACATCCCCAATGACCAACAAAACCATATAACTTCCAGTAAACTGTCATGAGATCAGCCGACAGATACAAAAACATGAAATCGGAGTAAATTTTCTTCATTATCACTGCTGAGCACATTGCACCCTCTGAGCACCACCATGCATATCGTCATCCTCCTCGTAGGCCTCCTGTTGGGCCTGCCGCTTCCTCCTCATCTCCTCTTCCATGTTCACATCATGCAGTGTAGTCTCCTCGCACTCATCTAGCTCCATATCTGTCAGCTCAGAAGTTGGTTTTGGTGGGAGAACAGCTGGTAATGCCTTGACCTGGTTGGGGCTCAACGAATCAGGGAAGTCAACTGTGAAGTGAATGTATAACTTCCCCTTCATGAAGGACCTCTGGTAGATGGGCATCCCCTCATCATTAATTGCCTTGAAGGAATCTGGAGCAAAGAGTTTTAAGTTTAGCAAACCAAAGAACCATCAAAGGAAAGCTTAAAAAGGATATTAATATGCATCCTCATATCTACTTACCAGGCTTTACAACTTCCCCAGGATTTGATTTGATAAGTAGCTGTCTGCCATCCAAATGGGTTAATGCAAATTGAAAACCACACAGAGCCTCAGTGAGGGACAGGGTGTGTTCCACAAAGAGATCCTCTCCCTTCCTCTTGAACCTTGGATGCTCTTTCTGCTGAAGAACAAAGACTATATCACCAGTGACTGCATCAGGCTGCAAAACAGACAAGAAACCAACCTATCAGGATTCCAGTCTTTCCTAATTCAAGCTGGCGCAGTGAATTTCCTTTAAACATGATCAACAACATACTGCTTCATCAGCTTCACCAGGGAATGTAATCTTCTGCCCATTCTGCATACCCTTCTCAACAACGACTTCCAGCACCTTCTTCTCTGGAACAACTTTCTCTCCCTCGCATTGAGGGCAGCGGTCCCTGTCATTGATGGTCTCACCAGTACCCTTGCATTCATTGCAAGGATGCTGCATCTGCTGAATCATTGAAGGACCAAGTTGCCTGATAGACACCTTCATACCAGTACCCTGGCAACCTGCACACTTCATTGAAGCTCCAGATTTTGACCCCTTGCTGCAATAGATAAGGCATCAATAACTCATGTTGGCTAACACAATTGAAAATTAAAACAAAGAACATAAGAACCAAGAGATACAACAGTCAAGTACCCACCCATTGCACTTCGAGCATAACATATTCCGGGAGAGAGAAAGCTTCTTTGTAGTCCCGAGATAAAGATCCTCCAGAGAAACCTTCAGAGGATGAACAACATCTTCTCCACGCCTCTGCCTTCTACCTCTGCTGCTACTCCCTGTTTAGAGGTGATATCATGAATTAGTTACCCTCTGCATTGACAAACAATGCTAACACTTATCCCTGAAAGGCATACACAAGAATATCAAACTAGATCCTCACCTCCAAATCCACCACCAAAGAAGGATGAGAAGATGTCAAATGGATCATGGCCAGCACCACCACCACCCATTCCTTCCTTGAGTGCATCCTCACCATACTCATCATAGATTTCACGTTTCTCAGGGTCACTCAGGACCTCATAAGCCTGAGCAAGCTCCTTGAACTGCAACAAGAACCAAATTTCTCAAGTTTCAGTGATGCTTAATCATCTGCTTACGAAGCTACACAATAAGTTGAATGAAAAAATTATCACAATCTTATCCGAGGGCTTAACAAAACAACGAGCTAAATGTATCCAATCAAAAGCCATACTCAAGGCGTGTAACATCCTAGATGACATACTCCAAACAAACAATGATACAATTCCGTATTATTTCCTTAGATTTCTGAGAATTAGGACTAAATTTTCATTAATACCGCAATAACCAGACAACATTCTAGTCTCTTAGAACCAAACAACATCATTAATAACAGTAACCAAGCTCAGAAATAACGGATGAAACAAAATCAAAGAAATAACATGAAAAGTTAGAAACACCAAACGTATCTTGAAAAATTACCTTCTCAGGATCTCCGCCTTTATCAGGGTGATTCTTGATGGCGGCTTTCCTGTACGCCTTCTTCAGATCATCCTGGCTGGCGTTCTTCGACACCCCAAGAATCTCGTAGTACTTTGTGTTATCGCTTTTCTTGGGCGCTCTTCCGAACATCTTTTACCTCTTTCCGGCGATCTGGTCAGCAGTGGTGATTGCGCTTGAAGCGGAGAGAGAAAGAACCAAAGACGGAGAACCTTAAAAAGGCAGTGGCCGGCTGGCGTGGAATCAACCCTGATGGACGGTTGAGATAGCCTCTGGTTAATTTATTTTTCTTTTCTTTTCTTTTCTTTTCTTTTCTTGTTTTTTTCCCTTTGAATGAGCGTCGGTCTCTTTTGGTAGGACGGAAGGATCTGGAAGAATTATTCTTTTCTTTTTGTTGGGTTCAAATGCCGTTCCCTTCCCGCGTACGGCTCTAACCCAATTTTCCAATTTTATTTAAGCCCATAAGCCCGATTTAAAATTTACATAACGTGTCAATTTTCAAAACCTATAAGTCCGTTCCCAAATATATAATAATTTATCGGTTTTTTGGTTAAATTATTTTAAAAGGGTTGGTTAGAGGGAGTTATTAATTATTTTTAATATTAATAATATTAATTAATATTAAAAAATACAAAAAATATTATTAATTTTATCATTAGTGTCATATAAATTATTTTAATTATGTAATTATTTAAATAAAAGTTAATTTTTATTTTTTAATATTAATTTTTTTATTTTTTATTTTTTAACATGTGTCATTTGGCATTGCATGAATTAATTTTATCAATTATCTAATTT